CAATACATGCACGTACGTACGTACATACATACATGTGCACATATGTTTGTGTGCGCTGCATGCGTCAGCGTTAAAATTAAATCGTCAACATTTTTATTGATTGAATACGTTAAGAATCGGTTTTTGCATGATCATTGCCGGCTTTTGATTTCATGGGCATTTCCTATCAACTTGTCGTGGGATTTGTCCCAAAAAAAATATATATAGTGTATATATATAAAATAAGAGTGTTACAGCTGACAGAACATAGCTAAGAGATACCCTAAGTCTTTATTTGCTGTGATACTTATCGATCAAAATCGATAAAGTCGTCGAAGCAGACCTGATATATTATATCAGACTATATGTCAAATTGAAAGTCTCTATCATTAAGCTCTGTGATGGTGTTTGATATGGATTCAATAGATTAGATGGTCATAATGGTCCTTGTCTTTTATGCAAGCTTCATTTGAAGGTTCTATAGGAGGAATTAGGTATAACATGCTAAATATAATCAATTAACCGATTTGTTGAATATTGATAGATCATCAATGATTTTAAGCGAGCCTAATCAAAACCTACTATAGAAGAACCCTTAAGTTTTGTAATTCTTTATCTTTTGTGGACTTCGATAAGTAGGGGCAGATCGACTGACGGATGTAGAGCTAAACAGATTCGTACGACAGACAGACAGAGCTTATCTGTCAAATGGATTTCAGCCACTCCTTCCTCTACACTAATACACTTTCCTTAGCAATAACCAATATACCCCGTTTAACCATTTTCCAATATCTTCTTCGGGGTATTAAGAAAAATGCCGGCACGTACAGATGAAATTATAAAGCTGCTCCATCTCATTCAATACAATTCTCGGGGCGTCGTAATGACACAATGCGTTAGCCAAATTGCCAGCCAAATTATAGCAATAAGCCAGTCCTCGAAATACGAAAACGCACAGGAAATGCGAAATTCGGTAGCTGTTTATTAAAAAAAGAAGAATAAATATCGAATACGAATGTGAATGCGACTGCGAATGCTTTGCGGCAGAAACATCTTTTTGGGGCAAGAGGCTCTACCTGAGGATCTCACACGGCATAGGCGCTGCCATAAATTAGATGGTTATCTACACAGCTTCTTTCTGGCATCGGTCAGAGGGGCGGGGGACAGGGAGTTGTCGACATAACAAGCGTTTGTCTCCGGGTGGCTGGCAATCCAATTAAGTGGTAATTTTTATCATCTTTTTGGCGTCTACGTCTTCGATCCCAATGCAAATGTTATATTGTATATACACATAGAAATATATATGTATGTATATATACAACATATCGCACGGCATAGCTGCTGACAAACGGAAGCGATATGTTCACATTGTTCTAACGAAAAATTCCAAAGTTTGCTGCACGAGCCTGGGACTGAGAACATGCTGGAGAACTGTTGTTTCAAAGCCAAAAACCCTTTAGTGGAAAGAGGTCGAGAGTCTATGAATTCATTGAGAATTTATATCGATTACGCTCTTTGAATGTCAGACTCATGCTGTTCTTGAATATTTTGATGTGTCATATATAGCTATATGAGTGTTGTGAATGAAAGTTTTGTGTTGGCCTAAAAATGATTTTTAGAAGATTTTACAGAAAAGTAACAGACAAATGTGTTCATTGATTAACTGCGTCAACATAGATATCAATTATCGGCTTTAGTATATATTTTGACTATATTCCTTAAATATAAAATTCATGATCTTTCACTATTCTAATCTTGGCCAACAAAGACACTTAAAAGTTTGATTACTTTTAAAAATATTTAGAAACGCGATATAGACCTAAAGAAAATATTAGATTCAGCCTCAGTTGTTGTAAACTTAAAATAAAATTTTTTTTCTCATTTGAATGAAATTTTGATAAAAATTTTAAATCTCACTATTTTATTCTCTCTAGCACGAAAAATCTTTAGTTATAGTGCATTTTATAGTTGAAATTAGGCTTATTTATTAGATAAAAGTCTTAAAATAATATTTTTATTCTTAATCCAATAAATCAGGAATCTTCTTTAATAAAATTGAAGTACAAGTTAAAGAAACTCAAAATAAGATTTGATATATTTATTTCAACTATAACTAAATTTTTATTTATTGCTTGGTATTCATTTTATTTTTTTTAGAACTGACTCAAGTTCTACAATTGAGTCTGATTGTTTTAATCTTAAAATAATATTTTTCTACAAATTTCGAGCAGCTTCAGCTTGCTTTTTTGGGCACAATATTCACAGCCAGCTGTGCATCTGGTCTTGACCATATTGTTTGCCCCCGACCTACGCTTGATAGACTTTTATTTGGCTATGGAGAGTTCATAAAAAGTATTTAAGAACGCAGCTCTAATCGCTTATGCACATAGCACAGAGCCTTGCTTTGTTTATATTGATTATATGCACATATGGAGAAACCATATATAGAAATACTTCTCTATATGTATGTGTTTATATATATTTATTCGAGTCGAGGCGTAGGTGCGACTTTTGTTGTTGACTACAGCGGAGCCTCGCTTTGTTTGCCAATGGCTTCTGATTTACCCAGTTTTTGGGTCTACAGCAACGCCAACGCAGCGTGTAAGTCGGTGGTCTAACCTCCATGATTGGAGGCGTACTTCTCTCCCACTCTCTCTATCTTTCTCTCTCGCTCTCCCTTCTTTCTCGATCTTTATGGGTTTTATATAGCACATTAGCAACTCTGCTTTCGGTATGGGGTGTGAAATGCTTTGATCATTTGTTGAGACCGAGCCGGGCCGGGCCGCAGCGTTAAACGATTGGCCTCTTATTGAATCTTTGTATTTGATTGATTTGCTTAAATTGTTTGGGTTTGTTTTTAGAACAAATGATACTTGATAATTATGACTGTTTTAAAATCGTAGTTTTGGTTTTATTGGAAGTGTTTACCTAGACTATATATAGCTATTTGGGTCTATAATACTAGAATTCAGTTTGTGATTCAATTGTTGGTTGATAATCTAACATTTATTTGATTTATCGATAGGTTGATCTTTCACTCAGATTGATTTGCTCATAATGAAAGCCAGAATATTCATAATGTAAGCCTGCTTATCAATTAAATTTAATAACAGTTATACATATATAAATATTTATTAAAAGGAATTTAGTTTCGCTGAAATATTTTATTGAAATTTACTTCACTTTCGAGTAGGAAAAATTGAAAAATTGCTTCATAGCTTTGCTTAAGTTCCACCAAAAATAATTCAGAGTAAGCTTTTTGCTCTACTAAATTGTGTATATTACAATTTTTTCTCATTTATTTCGATTAAGTTCAAATATCGAATTCTTGCTTTTTTATCCTATATACCCCTATAGTATATCTATATAATTGATAATGATACGCTAACGCTCGTGCCGGGCACACGCCCCATTTGATGTTGTTGTGGCACGCCCCCTTTGACGGCGAGCCCATTATGCCGTGGCATATTTGGTATTTAAACAAAATACTGTAACTTATTGCTACTGAGAATTTGCGTCATTAAAAATAAATATGCTTGCAATTTGTTCAAGGTGGGGGAGAAAGCGAGCGGGTGGGATGGGCATGGAAATTGTATTTGGGTGGGACTGAGTGGCAGACGACGCGTCGTCGTCGTGGTTGCTGCCACTGCCGCCGTTGCTGCTGCTGCTGCGGCATTTCAGATTACCCAAGTGGTGTCAAATGACACGGTTTGCGTGCTTTAATCCGTGGAAATACCTGCGGCGGCAGCGGTGGCGACGACAGCGTTGGTGGTGCCGCCTGCCTGCCTGCCAGCCAGCAAGCCCAAAAACCCACCCAGGCTATTATACCAGTCACATGCTGTGCCTCAAGCCTCTGCCGTGTGGTGCTGCTTTGACGGGTGCTGCAGCTGCTGTTGCTTCGGGTGGTGGTGGTGGTGGCTCCCGCTACTTAGCTCTCTGTGCGAAAATTTGTAAAAGTCAAAATCTATCTTTTGAGCAAACAGTAGCACGCTTTTGCAGCCTGGCTGTCAGCGTTTGAGCCCAGCGGGTTGTCCGAATTACTACAAAGCCATGATACTTTACCCCACGGCCACACGTACTATATGTAACGGTGTATGAGCACATTGCATATGTTTTCTGCGTGCGTCTCTCTGTGTGTATGTTTGTGGAGAGCTTGATTATGTAAAATCCTGTGCACGTGCTCAAAGCAAAGATTTTTCCAATGCCCAACAAGCTGCACGTGTTTGACTGCTATCCAAAACCGAAACCAAAAGTAGGAAACAGCAAAAAGAAAAAAAAAAAAAACAAGCAAATAAAAAACACGACTAAGTGAAATATATTTTAGTTAACGAATATGTAATACGCTTTAGTAAATATATAGGAATTAATCTATATGCGAACTATAAATGATAAATTAAATTAATAACAAATTTTAATTTCTTACCAAAAATATAAAACAAGCGAAGCAAAAAATCAAACTCATAACTCAATATTTAATAAAATAAAAA